TACCAGAAGAGAAAATGAATTAATTTATTCGTGCAGGTCTGTAGCTTACTGCAAAGTATGAGTCTGTTACACAAACACAGTCTCACAGTTACACACGTAATAACAGAACAGAAAATGATTTATTCATGAATATGACACTATTTGTTCAAAGATAGTGTCTGTGAATATTAATATTTTCCTCATTCAGTGATGCAGCAGGTCTGGCAAATAGGCTATTAGTAGTAGTAATCTGTCATGTAACAAATTTATATAGCCTAGTTAACACAAATTAACTCTCACTCTTTAATCTTTATTTTATCACCAAAGTGGTAAATACCAGTGGGAAACTCGGATTTTTTCACATTTAGGAAATGAGACGGGGTTCTACCCAAAGTCAAGCACCATAAAAGTAACGTAAAAGTAATGAGTAACGTAAAAAGTTACTTTTCACAGAGGGTAGCTAAGTAAAGTAAGGGATTACCTTTTTAAGAAGTAACGAGCAAACACTACTTTTTAAAAGTAACTTCCCCAACACCGGTTGTAACTGAACCCAGGACCATTGTGGCAGGGACAAAACTTCTATACATGGGGTGCCTCCTCTATAAGGTGAACTAATGGGCAAGTTGCTTTGGGGACATAATTATCAGTTGATAAAAGGTAATAAATCTCAGTATGTCACAATATGTATTATTGCAATATTCAGCATATCACAAAACATTTAAAACTGCAGTAATGTTGTCGTGCTTAAGTATCATGATAAGATCATTTCATGGGCCACTGATGACTGCCACCCCTTCACTGTAGTATTACTGCTTTTAAATATCTGCCACCACTTTTTAAAAGTAGCAAAATTTAAATGTACTTTATCTTATAATACTGAAATCAGCCCATAAAATCCCCACCATGCTTTTGCATTATCCTGATTTCCTGCTGCACTTTCTTGGATGAAAAACATATCTGGCACACGACTGTCTAATAATGTGTGGGTTTTTTTTTATGCAGGTGCGAATCCAGATGCAGTTTAAAAATGTATGAGGACTGTGCAGCCTTGTATGCGCTCTCTGCATGCATTATTTATCTAACATTGTGCAGCTCTGCTTTAATTTGTGTATTTAGTTCACAATGCCTCTGTGTGTCTGATCCTGACTGCTTCCGAAACGCTGCGGTGCAGGAGATCCCGCAGGGGCATCTACAGTGCTGGTGAGTTGCTAAATTCATACACCGTTTGTAGACAGATGTGATCGTGTGCATAGTGTGAA